TGAGCATCTGCCTAAGTGATTCCGCTGCCAAAATGGCGTCCTTAGTGTCACACTCGCGGGACTTTGGACATTCCTCAGTGGTCCGGAACAGGTTCCGCTTTTTGCTCTTATTCACTACATGCCGGTACATTTCCTTCCAAACAGGAAAGGTGTGTACCTCAGGCTTGAATTCGAAACGAATTCTCTTCTCTTGCGCAACACGGAAAATTGACTTCCCAGTCCAATCAAACCCTTGTTTCGCGTTTGGGTGTTTCTTCCAATCACCCTTCAAAGTCCTACTCTTTCCCTTCGAGTCACTGACTACCATGGTGAACTGGTTTTCCAACCTTGATGACTCCACTGGACAGGATTTACGTGTTGGGAGAAATGACCTGTGCCTAGGCTTTAAATGGTGCCTTATTAACTCGGTGCCATCTTTGGAGAATTCCCAGTAGTCTTTGCTCTTACGGGTCCGAGTAGCGGTTGCTGCTAAGCAAGACATCGCGAAACCTGTTTGAATGCATGGACTGGCCTTTGGACTTTTGTCTTTCTTTTCCCGTTTGCTCTTCTTGTCCTTTTTGTCCTTCTTTGACTTCTTGTCTTTAGACCTTTTAGCCGCGGGAGACGGGCTTCTTCTGCGCGGGGCAGGTGCCGCGGTTTCACCATGTTTAATTTTTAAATGGACACTTTTCACCCCTTTTGCAGTTGCCCTTTGCAAAGAACCTGCTGGCTTCTCAGATTTTCTGCCTCTACTTGAGCTTCTTGATGGGTTCCTTGAACTATTGCGGGAGGATGGTCTTGACGAGCTTCTCGAACGGCTTGACCTGAACGAGGATCGACCACTTGAACTTGCGCTTCGCGATCGTGACGACTGCGACTCCCGGCTAAGGGAGCGGGGACGTGCGCTAGAGTCGTGAGAGTACTTGCATTTGCTTCCGTACTTACACTTGCCGGTCTTGGCGAACTCATAGCATTGGTTGCTTCCGTCACCCTTTGTGCTCCTCTTGCCATAACTTGGACTTCGCGTACGCTTGTCATGTGGCGCCGGGTTTGCATACTTTGCAGCATGCGATTGTGAGATCTTTTCTCGATTTGTCCTTAGCCTTTCTCGATCAAGATACCGTCGAACAGAATTAATGAGGAATTCATAACTTCTGTCGCTACTTCCTTCCGCTGTCCGTTCGTAAACATCAAGGTCAAATCTGAGCTTACGGGACTTCCTGACCTCTCTATAGAACAAGTCTTTGAGGGTTGCCGGATCAGGAACATGACTCATTCCGGTCAACACACTTTCCCATTTCCTTAGAAAGGATTTCAGGTCGTCGCTGTCAAGCGAGATTTTCAGGAGGTCTTCCGTACCATACAGTGCACCCGCTTCTTCACTGGTCTTGAAGTGGACTTCAAACATGAGCAAAACCTGACGACCACGAACGATCCTACCCTGCTGTGCCTCAGATTCCTTATAATTAAGGATTTGCTGAGACAGTTCACCTTTGGCAACCTTAGTCAAAGCAGCGAGGAGTTTCGTATCTAAGGTCCGAAACTTGCCTGGGTCCGCCAGCTCGGAACAAAGCTTTGCTTTGCCCTCCCGAACGGCATATACCTCAAGCACCCATGCAAACGCAGCATCTGGGTCGTCGGACGCGGACCGTATCGCTTCGCGAACAGCGGCCCTCCAAGTGCGGTACCTGTCAGGACTCGGGAATTCGGGGAGATCTATCTTATCAGCCTCTTTTGCCTTGGGTTTGTCCAAGTCTTTGTTCTTCGCGCCCTTAAACCCCTCTAGCAAGGCTCTCTTGATTATTTCCCCCAAATCTTGATCTTGTGGAGTTCTTACCTGAGATGCCGGCCCTTCATCTTTGCGATCATCCCTTTTGTATGTTGCATCCTGGTTAAAGGAGCTTTTGTACAATGGGTCATCGCTGAAGTTGTACTGCGCCGACTTCGCCTTGTAATCCATCCACGGATCCGGTTGTTTGAACTGTTGCCTGTCGGTGGAGGCAGTGGCCTTTTCCGCTGCTTGCGCCCCTGTCCCAGACAACATTGAAGGAAATCCTGTGTTTCGACTTGTTGCTGAAGTATCCGTAGCTGTCTTCAGAGGAATTCCAGTTGGGTCTGAGGGCGAACCTTCTAGGGTTGCAGGCACTGTGCCTTCCGTACGAAGAGGTTCGAATGAACGAGGTTGACCAGCGGGATGAACACTTGGTTGAAGGAGGCGGAGGTTGCTCTGGTTGCTGCGGCCCTGGTTTAGCTGGGCTAGCGGCGTGAGCCTTGCGCTCGATTTCCTTGCGCTCCTCTTCCTTGTCCGATAAGGCCTGTACAACACGTCTGAGTTCATCCATCTCACCCTTCAACAAAGCATTATCCTTGCGGAGTTCAATAATTGTTTGTTCTTGGGATTCCCGGTCAACTGCATGTTGTGACTTAGTCGACTCCATTTCCCCGAGGAGTGTTTTGATCTTTGCCTGTGCGATTGCCAATGAACTGGACAGTTCCTCTCGCTTGAAGTCAAGGTCTATAGCAACACGGGCTTCTTCAGCAGATGTAGATCGAGCTTTGTCTGTTGCCTCCAAAGCTGCCTTTAGCCTTGCTTCTTGCTGCTCTGTATACTGTCAGTGTTCAGTTCTCATCCTGTCGACAAAAGCATTGCCTTCCTCTGCCAAGGCATTCTTTTCTTGTAAAACCTTCTCATGAGCCGTTGTTGCCTGAGCTAATCGCTGCTGAAAATGCTCTCGTTGCTCCTCCAACGTGCCTTGCAACCTTTTGATTGCAACGTTGTCATGATGCTGAGCCAACTGCTGAACATTATGTTCTTGCTGTTGGGCCCTCTGTTGCAAATTCAGCATTGCTTGCTCTGCTGCGGCTTTTGTTGCTGCTATCGATTCAAAAGCTTCCCTCTCATAGATATGCCTAAAACGCAATGCTTCGAGTTCAGCTTCACGCCTAGCTTGTTCGCTGAGCAACAACTCATGTTGCTGTAGCTCCCGTCGTAGTTCTTCATCACCTGATGTAGCGTTCAGGTTGACGACGTTGAACCTAGTCATTGCCAACAAGTTATTTACTGTTGGCGCACCAGCTACGGTGGATGACGGCATACCTGCTAGGGTAGCTCGTGTCGCCTCTTGAAGCGTAACACTACCACCACTGCTTAGCATTTCTTGGTACACCTCCGAAGCTACCCTTGGATCCATTGCTGCCACCTGTGCAACTGCTTGTTCATGTTGTTGAACTGCGTCCAAACTATTGGGTATACTCGGAACAATGTCAAAGCCACTTCCGTACGAGTTCGGTGCGACGTCGTCATCCATCGGGTCCATAGCTCTAATCTAGGTAGCCTACGGCTGATAACCTGTATTTTACAGGATCAGCTCGGATTTCCTAACTAACCCTGTCTAGCCGTTAAGCATCTTTTACTCTACCCTTGAGAGTACACGCTACGGGGTCCATAGGGATGAGGTGAATTTCAACAACCTCCAACCTAATAGCGATGGCCTTCAACCTACAAGTGATGGCCTC